TGAAGGTTCGTTATTGGTGATACTGATGTTAGCGATAACATAGTGATTGAATGTCAGATAAGCGTTACGTAAAGTACTAGCACATTGATGTTTTGGCCTATCATCGTATACGTGCAGTAAGCATAACAGAGCCTTCAAAGCATAAGAACATCATTTTTGTAATTAGCATATCAAATAAACCATGTGGGCCTAGTATTAGCGAATTCTGAAGCTTACAAATATTGAGCTATTTGAGAGCAAGCCAAAATCTCCTTTGTCCCATTTTCCACCTATATCTCAATTCAGAGGAGATCAATCAGGTCATATCGTTTAGGCTATCGAATGTGTTTATTCTTGCCGCTTTCCTTCGCGGTTCACATAGTGGACTGACATGTTACAGTAACCCAATTTCTCGCAGTACTTTCCATCTGCATAGGTAAGAAAGAACGACTCCCTAGAAAATCGTATTGAAACGGAATTCCTGCTATGTAGAGAAGGAGGTTTAGCAGCGGCAACGATAAAAACACGGAAATTTTGATGCTTTGAAAGTATCGCCGATTCGTTAACTTCACGGACTGCTCAAATGCTGCGAACCACGCGCGGCGCGGCTGAATTGTCGCGAGAGCACGACTTGTACAGTCTGTCCCAACCCCAACTAGGCCAAAATTGGCATGGCGGGAGTCCGCTCGGTAGGATTTCGCTGTCACGCCCACGGCCTTCTTCTCTGCTCTCTCTTCAGTTCTTTTGCTCTTTCCGACAGCGCGCATATGCAGCGCAGATCGCTGGAGCTGCGAGCGCGCAAATTTAATCCGACGGTTCGGCCTGATCCCGCTTGGAGCAGACTGTACAATGGGATTTGTATTGGGGCAAGCGTGGCGTGCTCAGTAGTGATGTCCAGTCCTTGCGGTCAACGAATCAACTATAAGTTAATGGGTGTGGCGCAAACACTAAAAAGATGTGGTAGTGGTAGTTAAGCTTTTCTGGAGGTTGTATTACACCCCATTAACTTACCTCCCAAGAGAGTTTTAGCGAACAAGTTCATATACGGTTCGATAGCCAATCCTTCGTTCCAAATTAGTTGCTGGAAGCGCAACCACTGTAAGCTAAAAATGAGACAAATGAAATTTTGGCTGGTTCCTAATTTCATACGTTGATAGTTAGGCAAGATTCTTGGTATAGGTAAATATGGAGTGGCGTTTTGTATTGCAAAAAGAGGTGTCGTCTATTTGTTGACCGCACGGACCAAAACGTTGCGGACCACGCGCGACGCGGCAAAAATGTCGCGAGAGCACGATTAATGACGACTCAGACACTGGGACCGGCTGAGCCGCGACCTCAAAAGGCCTTTCCGGCCCGTCCGCGGCCATAATCTGGGGGCGTGGCCGAAGACCGGCCCAGCCGCGGACCTTAATTCATGTCGATATGATTGCACCGGCTGATCCGCGGACTGAATATGGCTTACCGGCCCAGCCGCGGACCGAATATGGCTTACCGGCCCAGCCGCGGACCTTAATTCATGTCGATATGATTGCACCGGCTGAGCCGCGGACCAAAATCTCTATTACGAAACACCGGCTGAGCCGCGGCCCATTTTCGGCTCGGCCGGTCCTAGTATCTGAGCGTAAAGAACACTTGCGTGATGTACGACGCATGCTCAGGCTGCCCTCACTGTCCATAGCCTCCGTTGTCTTTCCAGTCTCCAAGGCAGGAACAAGACCAATATGTTGTACAACACTTGAATATGTTGTACAACACTTGGATAGCACTTTGTGTTGTCCAATTTTGAAGCCGGACATGGTTTCCGAAGCGGCCATGTCTGTGGCCTCAATTTTTGTTTTTCACAGCGTATATTTTACGTGCCAGTGAATAAAAAAACAGTCGTTTTGTATCCGAGCTAGAATGAACTAGATGGCCCGACAACCAGCTCCGGCTGAGCCGCGGCCGTTTTCCGGCTGAGCCGAGGCTGTTTTTCGGCTGAGCCGCGGACCATTCACCGGCTGGTCCGCGGACGCTGCGAAATTCCAGCCGGAAATGGGCCGCGGCTCGGCCGGTCCCAGTGTCTGAGGATATGTATTGGGGCAAGCGTTTTACCTCGCGGCGCGTTCCACAGTGATGTCCAGTCCGTGCGGTCAACGAGCCAACGATAGCTAATTCAAGGGTAAAGGACATTAGGTCGCCGATTGGCTCCACCCATGCGGACAGCTAACATGAGACAGTAATGGTGAAGGTCTTAGATTTGTTGCAAGTGTCCGCGCGGGACCACCCTTTTGGGCGACCTAATGTCCTCTACTCCTAATTCACTTTTGAGATATAGGTAATTATGGTTGAAAATGACCACTTTAAGCTAGTGTCCCCAAATCGGGCGCCCTCAGAATTCGCTAAGACTTGGTCTGTAGGGTTTATATCGCAGATTGCGATGACCGATACGTATTTGCTGTATATAGGTGTATTGCGATGACCGATACCTTTTTGCTGTATATAAGTGTATTTATGTTGGATTGGTTGTTTACTTAAAATTATATATACATTCCGCTTCTGGGAGATGGTTCATTCTTAGTCTCTTTGTCACTTTCATTCGTCGCCAAGCTCTCCACTGTCACTTGGCTGTCATCTATCGTCACCTACATCGTATTGTGCAGATAAACTCTACCGCGACTATCGTGTTTATGTTGTACAGTCTGCCCCAATCAACCAGGCCAAAATAGGCGTGGCGGGAGTCCGCGCCGCTACGGTTTCGCGGTCACGCCCACGGCCTGCTTCTCTGCTCTTTCTTCAATACTTTTGATCTCCTCGAAAGCGCGCATATGCAGCACAATCCGCTTGCGCTGCGAGCGCGCAGATTTAAGCCGAAGGTTCGTGTGCTGACTTTACCACTCTTATGGTAAAGTCTAAGATGTAGTGGCTGACCAGTCTTATGGAAAGCCAGTATTTGAAGTTTGGTGGCTCCTTTTGTGTCTATACAAGACACATAAGCTAATAACACCTTTACTGAGACATCAACGTGCCCTCATTCGGAGGGCACGTTGATGTCTCAGTAAAGCTCAGTGGTAGAATGCTACTCCTAATAGGCGGAGCAAGGCAAGGTAATGCATATCAATAGAAAGATATGACTTGAGGTCGCGAGTTGGTGACCTCAAGGCTACAAAGGAGTCTAACTAAGTAAGGAGGAATTGATAAGATTAAAAGAGGTGCCGAACATATCGGCACAGTTTGGGTAGGTGCCATAGTAAGCGAATATTTTGTTCAAGTTGGGGTCCCGCGCAAACTGGCGTTATTAATCATTGTGGCACAAGGCCAAGTTGGCATTATGCCACAATGATTAGTGATGCCAGTTCTGCGCGGGACCCCAACTTGAACAAAATATTCGCTTACTCTGGCACCTACCTTGGCCTGATCCCGACTGGAGCAGACTCAGCAACATCGGAGCAAGTCTACCGACGCAACTCTACCGCATCCACTATAGGTTTTGGTGGATCGAATTACGAATATGTTACTAAATATGCTTGATAGAGCCTTTATGTCATGCCTAGGGTAGGCGAACGATAATGCGGGGGGGGGGAGTGGGAGCATCGCGGCAGAACATAGAAGGGTGGCCATCTCCGGCGGTTGTGTGCCAAAACTCTTGCTCGACTCTGGTATTATCACTTGTTATCTAGTATATACGACTTTCGTATCCATCCAATATCTAAATTTAGCATCTTCAATTACATACGTTTAGATTTCCAGATAAAAACATGGTTTGGAGGGTGGAGTCGAGGATACGGTTGTGGGGGGGGGGGAGGAGGGAGAGGGGTTATGGCCAGGGTTGAGCAAGAGGTCAGGCACAAGTCTTTTCAAAACGACCCCCCCCCCCCAGTGATAGCCCCTAAACGACCCCTCTGCTTCACCTCCAGGACCTCAGGCTGTGATAATTCGAAAAGATCAGCCGTTTTTGGGAAGTTCTTGTTTTTTGGAGGTCTGTAGGTCGACTTTCTGCGATTGCACAGCACACGCAACTTGACGGCAAGTTTTGGATTTTGGATAGCCCTACTTTTAGAGCTATAATTCCCACAGGGGTGTATTGTTTGGCTCCAAAATTGCAGCATTGCAAGAAGAGGCTTTGAGTTCAATACTCATAGCAGAAATGGAGCGATTTTTAGATTTTGAAAACAAGTTAATCGGGTCAGGCGCAACCCCTCAAAAGCTCAGGCGGCCTGACCTTTTATGGGGTTGCGCCTGACCCGATTAACTTTATCATTGAAGAAGCTTTTTTATTCAAGTTTTATGTGAATCGCTAGCACAACCCTCGAAGATTCCACAGTAAGTGTTTGGACTTGATTCGACTTGTTTCGGCCTTGAGGTAATCCGTGGAGTTGAAGCAGTCATGGAGAAAAACGCGCCGATTGGAATTTTGGCATTATTTCTTACTCCACTATTTGCAAGCGATACAAAGCGCGATTTTTAGCCTAGACTAGTAGGGAACAATACTTTGTTACGAGTACAAAAAAATTGACTTTTCTCACTTCTGAAAACAAGTTAATCATGTTTGAAAATCACGCTTTTTAGTCGTTGAGAAACACTAGATAATGCAGTAAATAATGGTTTGTAGGGCTCATAGAGGTAATTTGACGTGCTCGGAAATGATACCCATTTCACACAGCAAGCTTCCTTGATGAATTTATAATATGTCAAGGTAGAAGATGAAGATTTGAGTTTTGGCCGAAACTTTGATTGTGGAATCAGTCAGTATGCTGTTTAAGACCGTTCATTCCTTCAGTACTGGTGAGGTCGCGATATCCACTAAACTAGCACTTTTCTTCTTCACCTTAATCGTAGTATCTCCTCAATCGAACGAATTCGATTCTTAATCACGACCCCCCCCCCCCTCTGTCTTACGCCAGTACGACCCCCCAGGTCGGGCGCGCCTGACCCCACGCTCAACCCTGGTTATGGCGAGTACTTCTTGAGGCACTTGAAGTTAGGCGTGTGATTTCGTGTATCATTGTGCAGTACGGACATGCGCTTTAGTTGCCGACTACGCATGTTGAACTCTGTGAACTCTCAAGTCTATTCTTTCCAATCCATATTCTAGTGTTATTCGCCAGGATTTTCATCGAGAAATGGGCGATCCGCGGCTCAACCATCTTGGCAGCGTTCTGGAATCCAAAAATAGTACTCTGCGCAGAGAAGCTGCCGTCGCATTTGGTAAATACTGCCTGTCAGACAGCAAAGTTGCGGAGGTAAGCATATTAGTTTAATTTCTGCTATATGATTGTGGCTATACTTTATAGGTTTTGCTGAAATATATCTGCTCTCCTTCATGGGATGCACGAGTGGCAGCTGCAGATGCCCTCCATGCTCTTCTGAGAAATATGGGGACTTTTTCTGGCAAAACTGAAGAAGTTCCAGTGGTCGCTTCCTTGCGAGAAATCAATGCTAAATATGTACTCAAGACTTTCAAGCCACTATTGAGGTAAATTTGATGTTTGAGCTTCGTTATAGTTTACATTAGATTTATTTGTAGGAGTTATCATCAGGGTGTGTTTTCTGGTGCGAAATATGAAATGTTTGTATGAAAGCATTGTTTTGCGCCTTCAGTAGTCGGTTCTTCATTCAGCTTATATCGGAATTGACCCTTGTATGTAGTACCATGCAAATATTTTTCGAGTTTTTGAGCAGATGATGTTTGTTACTCCTACCGTAACCCAAGGGAAATGCGATTCTATAGTTCATTCACAAAATCGTGACGATGGGTTTCATTGCGGACTTTGCGCTCATAGGAGCATAAAACGCTCATACAAGAATGCATCACCTCAATGTTTGCTCAGCCACTTCCAGTGTCTAATTATTATCATGCGTAAGCAAGAAACCATTCGACTAAAGATAAAAACCGAGAAAATGCAATTCCCGGAAGTGGCGTGCGTGTCGTGCGCGGTCGCGCCATCGTCACAATTTTTCAAATGCCCTATATGTAATTGTTTTTGCATTCAACTCTTGCCAGAAGTAACCAGTCTAGCAGAAATATTTCCCATGCCTCTAGGCAAATGAGTGTTTGGTCTCGTTCATAATCACACGTAACCCTAGAGTGGGACGGTTCACCATCGCAAGTGCATTCAGCACGTTTAGAACTTAGCAATTACGTCCAAAGAATGGTTTCTAAGCAAACAAAGACTATTCTTACATTTCTACTTCAACGTTTCGGAAGCTCTGATATAATTAAATTTACAGTGACGATGGAACAGCTCTTAGTGCTGGTGGCTCCAGCACAAAAATCAATGTGCATCAGCAACGTCTTGTTCTTGACCAGCACTTGGATATGAGCGCTGTTATTGGTGTCACCTCTGTGAGTCATTTTCAGCTTTTGGAGTTTTAGCCCCAATTTTTAATAGCTCTCTATTCGTCCCTGGAAGGAACATATATTACAGCGATTTGTGGAAGTGTATGTTTTACAGGCTGGTTTTCTCAACGATTCCGATGTTTTGCCGCAGAGCACGAGTAACTCTCCACGACAGGAACCGGAAGAGGTAGACGCGATTTTCAGAATTATATTTGGTATATGTAAAGCAGCTCTTCATCTTATATTCAGCTGCTCATTGCTGACTGTTCCAAGCTGAAAACCGAAGTAAAGGCTGAAGATTTTGAAAATGCAGATGGGGATAGAGTAGAATGTGTTTCGCAAAATGCTTTTTTGCAATTTTTCTGCAGGTAGGGTGTATCCCTAGATTCCTTGCATGTTTTGCATGGGATTATTCTAGGCTTCTTCCTCTCTTAGCTGATCAACGATGGCAGTTCAGGCATGGAGCTGCTATAGCTATAGCTAGAACATTGGCTACATCATATCAGAGGTAAAATCTTTGTCTTTGCTCTAATATCCTCATTAAAGCTTCACAGAATACCTCTTCCTATGGTGGATGCATGTGCTTTACAGTTGCTGCATGTATTGATACTCGATCAGTTCAATGATTTCGTTTCAGGTTAGCTTCGTCTTAACTATTTTCTTTTTTTTTCCTCTTTTCATCTTGTAAATAACGATCAGTTCAATGATTTCGTTTCAGGTCAGCTTCGTCTTAACTATTTTCTTTTTTTTCCTCTTTTCATCTTGTAAATAACAGAATTGCTATAGAGTTGATTATTTATTAAGATTACTCTTCTTTTGTTACTTCATTTACCAGTTCTTCTTTTCTATATCTTGGGCATTTCCTGGGATTACTCTTCTTTCTCTCACTTGATTTATATAGGAAAGGATGCCTTGGCCCCGGCCAGACTTCGCTCAAAAACGCCCAAATTTTTCTAACCTGTCTTCACTTTCTCTATCTCGCTTCGCACGAGAAAGTGAAGAGAGATCAGAGAAATTTGGGCGTTTTTAGGCGCTGAACGATGTCTGGGCGGGACCCTTGACCTTGGAAGAATAGAAAGAAATTGCGTTTTCAATGCCCCCTGGGCAATGGCTGGATCCTTTAGTAAGGTTAGATAAAATGTTGAAAAACATTTTTTTCCAGGTCGTAATGCGACGGCACCCGTGCGCGAGACGTGTGCCCAAGCTTTGGGCCATTTTCTTCATAAGGCAGATTTAGAACGGAGAAATATTGTCTTAGGCCATCTTCGTAATCTTTTATCTATGCAAGGCGAAAGGGTTGGTTACTCTAGCTCCATATCATTCTGCACCTGATTTTATGTTTTCCAGAATTGGCACTGTCGTCAAAGCGCTTTGCTTGTTTTCAAGTATTTCTTTGCTGTTGCATCGTCTTCGGAAGCTTTTAACGACTGTTTCAAACTGGTTGTCATGAGTTTGAATGATCCAGTCGATGATGTGTGTTTTTACTTCGATACTTCCGTACTTCTTGAGTTTTAACTGTTGTATAGGTCGTGTCGTGCGCTGTGACAACCTTGTCATCATTGCTTTCCAATCCATCAGTGGACGAGAAGCGCTCTGATCTTATCCAGCATGTGATGTCTAATGTGTGGCAATTGTTGGAGTTAGAATCGAAGAAGGAGCAAGTCAGTAGAAGCTTCCAGTTGTTTTCAAAAATTTTTAAATCCCTTTTAGCTGCGCACTGGCTTGGATGCACTTGCAGTAGACCTTATAAGTATTGTAGAGACATGGTTACGGTTACAGGAGACTTCTACTCTAACTAGGTATCCTTTTTACGACTCAGTCTTAACGAAACTTGCAGAATTGTTCATTGCCGCTGTTTTTAGGGAACAGATTATGACAGTTGTTAGCATGGTAGATGAACAGTTTCAATCCAGGTCACAGAAAATAGTCACGCTTCTATTCACAGCTTTCAAACGGGACGAGGGAGTTTTGAATGGGAATGTAAGTTATTTGTCCTTAATTTTTCTTATTTTCAACTTTGTTTTCGTGTCTAGGACTTGCTGTTCATTCTCAAACTTTTCTACCGAGTTCTACTCTTTACTGCACCCGCACAAGATATGATATTATTAGAGAATGTTTATATCACTTCTAAAGCACTTATTGAAAAATATGGGTGAGTTTTTACCTGGAGATGGATCTACCTGTTTGGAACATCTCTTCTCTAGGTCAACTCTGATTCAATCAAGAGCTTTATTAGACAAAATAGGGCCATGGGCGGGTTGTTTACTACATGACCATAGAAGTGCTGTTATAGGTAAGTCAGGATATCATTTCTGGCGGTGTACTGCTTGGCTTTTTGTTGTCTTTTTGGATATAATTTTGCCTTTCAAAGTGTTATACTGAATTTTGACTGTTTATATGCAGCATTATTTGTTCAAGAGATTTCCCATCGAGTTTTAGATGTATTTACGTATTGCGTCGATATAGCAAGTAGTTCGCGAGATGATCCTTTGGTTAGGATGGGAAGTGAAGAAGTGCGATGTCTTTCGGATAAGTAAGTTCTTTTCCATGGTCATTTTGTTGGAGTAATATACCTCTTTGATATGAGGAACCCTTTTTTCGATCTCTTTTTTCGTATTTGCCGTCATAGATCTGAAATCTGATACCCTGTTCGTTCCGATAACTTCGTTTGTCGGAGATCTGAGAGCCATATATGTCGGCATCATAAAAAATTCTTTATTAGTTGGTAAATTAAACGAATGTTTGATTTCAGGGAGAAGGATGATGTGTACATATCTCGTAAAATCATAGCCGCCAAATTTCTAGCTACAATTATCCAATTACACTATGAGAGTCGTCTGGAATTGGAAGGACAACCTGTGTAAGTGAAAAAGAGAAATTTTCCGAATTTATTTGACTCCCCTTTTTTTGTTCAGAACTGAAGCCATACAGCTGTTGTTTGTTCCATTTTTGAGATCGAATCTTTTATATCAGAATCTCGGAGCTGCTATCATATTGAATGAATGGGCTTCTGTTTATCGAGAATCGATGAACAAGTAATTTCTTCTCTTTTGATTATGGAAGCACCGAAAATCATTGTCCAATTCAGGAGCGTGCAGCTTGACCCGCCTGTAACGCTGCTTCAGATCTGTGATAGCTTTCTCAGGGCACCGCAGAAGAATTATGACGAACTGACATCAGCCGTCAATCATCTCACAATGGTAGGTAGGAGTCCGTAATGCGTGCGAAACTACAGCAGTGTTAGCCTTTTTGACAATAGCCTTTGCTTGTTCCAGGACTGCAAAGAGTTTGTGGACTATTGTGTTTTACGAGGTGTTGATAGGAGTAAGCTTGGTATGGGAGAATCTGCCTCTGTTGAGGAGATCAGCAAGTGAGTACCCCTTTTCCTTCCTAGAAGCCCCTTCTTTTCTATCGATGCCTCTTTCAGAACGGCATATGAAATGTGTCTAGCGGGTTTGACGTCTCCTAACCATATCGAATCGCTTACTACACGTTATAATGTCCTTGCTGATTCGATACAGTTCACGAAGTTGGCCGTGAAGACCAATACAACGTATGTGTCTCTATCGTCGCTAGTCAAATTCAACTCTGTACCTTTCTATAGGAGGGTCTCAGCGTTTCTTTCATCTGCTCTGTTCTACTTCGGTTTTGCGCCTGAAAAGTTGACACCAATGGTGCGGCCTTTAGTGGAATGCATGCAAAATGAGCAGAATTCTACAGTTTCCGCTGAGGTTTGTGAGTCCGGGTGATTGTGCGTAAAATTTGGATGTGCCTTCAGGTTTTTCGTGGAGCGGTAACGCTGATGATAGCGTACAGCTGGCCAAGAACACCGAGACCGTACGTTAAGGCAAGCCTTTTGTAGCCTATCGTTGGTGTCGTTGGTGCATACACGTTATGTTCGGTTGTATGTTCAATTTCATGCAGGTACTTGCTCGAGCTATGGACATGTTTTCAAGCTGTTCCAATCGCATTCCCAAACCGGAAGAATGGTATGCCACGGGACATGTTAATAGCATCATTTTCTGTATTTACACATGCTTTGAGGGCTGCGAAAGATCAGCAGCATCTGATCCTGTCCCTGCTATGGTCGGAGCCAGAACGGAGCGTGCTCACACCGCCCAGCAGCAACGCTGAGCTGATGTTCTTGGTAAATTAATGACAAAGCTCGAATATATCAATATAGCGTGGGTTAAGGTCTGCTCTACTTTTGCGGTTGATCAGTTGCCGGAATTTTATGAACATTTCGCTCTGGACAATTGCACCAATCAACAGGTTTGTTCATATTCTCCCTCTACACCCGTTGTAGATGTGTGTCTGACACTTCTTTTGAATGTCATTGTGGATTTGACTATTTCTTCCACATGTCGCATATGTAGGCAGATGATAAGCATTGGCGTTCAAGCTTGCAGTGGAGAAGCGACTATTATTTTGAATGTTTGTACCTTATCTTCAGGTACTGCTTTCGCGTTTGGCTTTGCACGATTGTATGTGGTCGAGAGTAGGCTCAACTCTCTCAGATGCATCTACTTCACTTATACTAGATCTACTTACCAACAGTAACCCCGCTCTGAGGTGAGACATAATTTGGTGTGGTCTTTCACGTATCTTCTTTGAATATTCTGTCATCAAATATTTTGAGTGCATGATCCTCCTTCACTGTTGCCATACTAGAGTACCCTTCATGGGCATCAAAGATACGCAATAATTGTTCAGGTTTGCTGGTGCCAAAGCAGTAGAGACGTTTGCTCGATCTAGTCTTGGTGATACTATATCGCGCATTTATAATCGTTTATCACAAATGCTGTCCAATATTTCAAATGCCAATGAAAGAAAAGGTGCTATAGAAGCCATGTTGAGGCGAGTTTTTGAATTCTTTCTTTCTCTGGCTGATCTGATTATCAAATGCCTTTTCAGGCTGTCTTTTTTGAACTCTTCCTTGTGTGGTGCTGTATCTTTGTTAGCTCCCCTTGTATTTGTGCGCATGACTGACAAACTAGAGGAAATAAGAGAAGCTGCTGGAGAGGCATTTCGCAACATGGTGCCATTGCTAGCTCTCGAGGTTGGTAAATTTTACCTTCGCTGAGCTTGGTAATAAGTTTAACTGCTCAGGATGTAACGGTGCCCGTGCCCGGACTCAACGAGGAGCTGTCGGCTAAGCGTGTGGAAAGTGCAGAATTTGTTAATGTGCTTTCCGCTCCTAGCAAGTTGAATTTGGTTGAAACTTCTACTATTCGAGGACTTTGCAAGACGATACAACTCAGGCACTATCAGGCTGTAAGTTCTTTTTTTAGTTTCTAGAATCTTCTAGAGTTGAATTCCGTTATTTTGTTTGTTATTCCTCTATCAGGAGGGAATAACGTGGATGCGGTTTCTGCGAAAATTCGGCTTGAATGGTATCTTAGCTGATGATATGGGACTTGGAAAGACTCTCCAAACTCTCTGCGCCTTGGCTTTGTCGATTGACAGTGGTGAGTCTCAGATTTTGATCAAAACGCACGATTGATGTCCAATCTTTTTTTCTTTAGATGTCCAACTATCTAGCAAATGCTCGCTAATTGTCTGCCCTCGTACATTAGTTGATCACTGGTGTAATGAATGGCGACGATTTTTCCCTGGCCGCACTCCTGCACGGCATGTTGAAGGAGCGCCGACAAAGTGGAAATCGGCAGAAATAGTAGTTGCTGCATACGAGGACCTGAAAGGAAATTCTTCTTTGGGGTATGTTTTCTAGTGAATTCTTGTTTTAATCTTCATGACCTGGCTTTTTAGTCGCGTTGCTTGGAACTATGTTGTTTTGGATGAAGGGCATGTGTTGAGAAATCCCAAAACTGCAATATGGCGAGCTGCAAATGAGTTGAACTGTACCAGTCGATTGATTTTATCTGGTACGCCAGTGCAGAATAGGTTCGGTTTTCTCATTTTTAAGTTTAAACTCTTTTAGTAGGCAGATGAAGCTATTTTTAGCCCGGCAGACCTATGGGCGTTGTTCACTTGGCTGATGCCTGGTTATTTGGGCGATGAAAGACATTTCCGAGCGCAATTTCTCAAGAAGATTTTGAAGTGTAGGAGCCATAAAGCCACAGAGAAAGACATACAGGTAATTTTTCATGACTTGATTATCCGGTATCTTCCTCAAAGCGTGTTTTAGGATGGATCGGAAGCTGTTTCACAGTTGCATAAGTTAATTCTTCCATTTATAATGAGAAGGTTGAAATCAGAGGTACTATTTATAGCAAACGGAAATTGGAACTGGATTCTTAAAATATTTGTCACGATAGGTTCTTCGCGAATTGCCTGACAAGAATGTCCAGGATTACCAGTGTCAGCTAAGCGATGAGCAGAGGACTATTTACAAGTTCATTGTTGATAGGTATGAGCCTATATTCTCCCGTACTTTTTTCAAACATTTTCTTGTCTACATCTTCTGCTCCTACCCTCATAGAAGCGTTGATTTGGAATTTTGTTGACTGTTTTTCTTGAATTTTGTCCTTCTTGTTTCTTTTTATCTCCATCTTGACAGATGCACCGCCAATCGCACCCAGCTGGCTGCACGACGTGGCATCTCACCTCTTCATGCTCTCACAGCCTTGCGACAGCTTGTTGATCACCCATCGCTCATTGAGGATGTTCTGACCAAGTTAGCAGCTCCAGAAGAGATTATGAAGCTGGTAAGTTACAGTGTAGAAGTCACCACTTCTGCCAATTTTTTGCATGAATACGGTTTGTGTTTGCTTGGAATTCCGAAATTTTTTTTAGCTCCAATTTGCAACATCTGGAAAATTAGCTGCTCTAGGACAACTGCTGAATGAATGTGGTATAGGTGTGACAATTGAGAAGGAAGATCCTGAAGATGAAGGTAAGGACGAGACGAGAGCTCATGACATTCCTGAGAATAGTTTCTATGAACAGCTTCTTCTAGATCCCTTATCTTCAATACCAGTAGAGTTGCCACATCGAGCTTTGATATTCTGTCAGTGGAAATCGTCTGTGCAGTTGGTTTCAGCAGCGTTGGCTAGGTAATGTGAAGACTCTCAACATGATTATTTTCGTTTAAAATGATGTGGGATTTCATCTATCGTGGGAATCATACATGAATTTAGTGATATTGTCCTATGATGTTCTATTTTTTTCGCCGAAAGTTTCGCTCTTTCAGAGGCGATTTTGGAGCACCAATTTCACACTTGGTCCTCGATGGTTCTGTAGCTCCTTCAGATCGACAATCCGTTGTTGATCGTTTCAACTCGGATCATTTAATTGATGTGCTCGTATTGACAACTCATGTAAGTGCATTGTTATGTTGTTGACAGCCGGAATTTATCGGAATTCTGCAGATTGGTGGCGTCGGCCTTAACCTGACAGGTGCTGATGTAGTGATATTCCTTGATCATGACTGGAATCCGATGAAAGACCTGCAGGCCATTGATAGGTGATTTTCTTTTATGCAATTTGTTTGTCACTATCTGCGACTATCTTAGGGCCCATCGTATCGGACAAACACGAAAGGTCAATGTTTACCGACTGATTACGCAAGGTACGGTTGAGGATAAGGTCATGAGTCTGCACAAGTTCAAGCAGGACACAGCTGACGTAAGTTTTTCACTATTTTTTTTTCAAATTCATATTTTGTTGTCGTTATTGTAGTTCAAGTCATTTTTGCATGTACGTAGCTATTGATTTTCCAATATTTAGAAATCAATCAGCATTCACAATATTTCTTCTTTTCAAATTATTATGTGGAGAATTTGCCATAAGGATTGTGACGGAGGTTGTTAGTATAGAGTTTTTATATGAATATTAGGTGCCTAATGTGTACGTGTAGTGGCGCGATAGCGAACGTGCAGCGATGTCCGAGTGGTTAAGGAGTTGGACTTGAAATCCAATGGGCATTGCCCGCGTAGGTTCGAACCCTGCTCGCTGCGAACGTTTTGCGATAGGTGTTTGGAGCGCATAATGCGATAACGCGTAATGCCGTTCATCATTAAGTGGTTTCTTTATTTGTATAAGGGTTTTGATAGCTTTTTGATATCACTAATCATTTATAGGCCCTAATTGGTGCTGATAATCGATCTTTGCAAACGATGGCTACTGATGAATTGATGAGTATGTTCATACTGGATGGTGAACAACCCACGAAAGAGAACGGAGCACCAGAAGCCAAGAGAAAACGCAAAAGTACAGCGGCATCGGATGCGTCTTCAGTGGAGGATCGATGGAATTTGGCCGAGCTTTGGGACGAGAGTCAATACGAGCAGCAATTCGATGTGTCGCAGTTTATCAAGGACGCTGTATAGGTAAAAATTTAGGTAACTGTTTTACCGGTGCTTGAAAATGCAGGTGATATCGATTAAGGTTTTCTTTCCCCACTCTAGTGTCATGCTGGTACCTCATTTCTTGCGTTGATATTGAGCTTGTTAGGATAAGTTCAGGTTTTCTTGCCAATGCTATTGACTTTGAAGTTTTGGTTCATCAAATTAATGGTAGGTAATTTTTTCTTGCTTGTTCTTCTTCTTTGATTTTTTCTGTTATCGAAAAGAAAATGTGATAGTCGCTACATTATGCCCATTGCTATGCCAAATTTTTTTTTAATTTGAATTTTCCTGAACTTGTCGCTTTGGGTTCTATGTTTGTCTTGCTAGCATGTGCAGCTTATCAGAAGATCTACTTTAATTTCTCTTATTCATTATTTGCATGGCTTTTTTTACGGGTCTTAGGATGTTTGAATTGTTGATTGAATAAATTTTATCATGTTTTTTTTTTGTGAAAAAGCTATTGTATAGGGTTTTGGGGACATTTTGGTGCATATAAGAGCATCTCATCTTCTTCGGATCGAAGCAGAAGAACAGAGTATCTTGCGTGGAATGTAACAGGTTAGGGTAAATGTTTTATATCGATAAAATTGTCTTCATGAAAGCATTTGAAGGCAGTTGTATAATGTACACAACAATAACAGCTATTAATCACAATAAATCAAGGAAAACGCGGACAAGGAATACGACAAATTCGTTCCTCGGTTTCTTTTTCTGTACATTGTTCTTCTTCCCAATCTCCATTACGACCTCTGTGGATTCGACGACGTCGCGATTGGATACCTTCACCACAACTTACCGAACATCTCGACCATCGAGACCATGAGCCGACTCGGCATTGCGTTGAGGCTGAAGATTTTCAGAGGTATCTTTGGGACGGGCAACCAAAAGCATAGCTGCCTCTATGACTAATACCAAAGCGAAGTGAGGCACAAGGTACACGACTTGAGGAGTTGGACCCCGTTCATACTTCACGCGATTTCACTATCCAGGCGATTTGGGAATTGCTAGGCAATCTCTTTCGAAACCAATATCCCAGAATACAAATTATATTGTCAATCAAGAAAATGCCCTATAATATACCATGACTGGGTAAACAGTTGCAATTTCGCCAAAGCGCCGCTAAAATCGCATAAAGTATGTCCGGGGCCTTGAAGCCGGGCAAATGAATAAGGAGAATGACTATTAGAGGACCAAATACAAGGAGAAGAAACACAAGAGCCATGATCTTTTTTCTTCTTACCAGCTCTACCCCTGCGTATCCAAAAACTTCTGATGGGCGGAAATAAAATGTATGGTGTCAATTCTCAATGATTACTCACGGCATGGTCGCAACTCGCATCGAAGCTCCTGAATCAAATGATCGGGACATGGTGTTCCACCATTGCGTGGGAATGTCTGAATAGTTTTTTTGTAGGTCTGGCACTCGCAAAAAAACATTCGTGGTGCAAAACAGGTCTCGAAGACACAGCTGACCTTGATCTGCCTGGTTCGAGTCTTCTTTCCACGTCCACAAGTGACTGAACAATGCGTCCACGGTGACCATTCATTCATTTCACATGGCACTGGATCACCTGAAAAGCTTTTCGTTTTGTCAGAAGCATTTGGTTGAACTTGGAAGGTTTGCAGGATTGTAAGGGGAAGCTGACCTAAAAATACTGAGTTTTTACGATTTAGCTACGATTATAAAAAAAACTCTATATTTGATTTTAAGTGATACTTCCGTTCACCTCCATCGTTCACTTCTGCTGGCCCACCGAACTCGTCGATTAGTTGATGATTTGGTACTGAAACAATTAAAATGAAGTTAAAGGTAGGTAACAAAAATTATGCTGCCAGTATTCCCTACACATAAATACCCTAGACAATTTAATATCTACTATTCGTAAGCAGCGACGTTTCGAAAACTTTTTTTGAGGGAGACCAAAAAAACCACACCTTCAGGAAATTTCTCGGGACAGTTTGCAGAAGGGGGCGTGGTGGCAGCCACGTTAAGAGAAAAAAGCTAATATAAATTCGTAAAAGATTTGAAATTTGTTCTTGTTATAGAGGAACTAGATAATCGGACAGTTTTATGCCATGTAGGTTACATCACGACTCATTTTCGGGGGGGGGGGGGGGGAGGGGAGGGTAAGTTATCTTTCCGTTCAATATGTCAACTAAGTTGCAATTTTTGAACAATTTCATAGAGGGGGGGGGGGAAGGATTTGTGAGATAATAGCATCACCTCGAATATCATTGTTTAGTGAAACTTTTAAAAATCACCTGATGATTTTTCGACCTCATATCCAGGTACACATACTCGTTTGCATTCATCTTCAGTTTCGAATTGATTGCGGTTTCCCTAAGCAATAATCTTTATTTATGATTATTTTATTATACAAAGAGGTATAAGCGAGAACTGGTCTCCATTATATGTTGAACAGACATGTTCATTCTTTTGACTCTTTCCAAGTGGATGCTCGGTCAATAATAAATTGCAAGACCAACCATAACAGGCTGGGGACCAGTTCTCGCACATAAATCGATTACGAGCATTTACCTTGCATCCAGTATAGATAAATCGTTCACACTTTTGCTTCTCATGATTGAACCAATATCGTGGGAATGTTCCACCGCATTGTCCTTCCTCTTTCGATTCTTGGCAAATTTCTGAAATGGTGCAACTGCAGAAAAGGGCTACACTGGTAACAGTATTCACCTTCTGAATTTTGTTCAAGGAAACGACGGCAAGATTGCAGAATACAAGTGTCTTTCTCTTGCAATGCAATATGAGAACAGCGCTAAACAGTTGAGGTGATTTTCGAGGCCTTATTGATTTTATCGATTGTTTCACGTACCTGTTCATGTTCAGCAAAGAAGAACAAACGTGTTCGAACACGTACACCATCATCACAACTAGCACTACATGGAGACCATTCACTCCATGATGTGGTCCTGCACAGAGGATCAGGCGTCACAGAGCAATCGTCGCCTGACTCTCCTGTGCGAGGAAGTATAAACGATGACTAGGCGGAAACTCTTATCTCTTGGAAAACCTACCAACGCAGATGTCTTTTCTTACCAAGTCCACGTTGCATTCGGATTCTTGTTGTTTGGGATTTAAAAATGCCCTGAAACAGCGGCACCTACCCAGAAAAATTATAAAAGCCTTATAACATAGTAAAATGATCAGTAGATATGTTTTGTAAGTAAAAAATCAATAAATATGTTTTGTACCTCTTCCTCGTCCTTGTTCCATGTCCGCATGTGACAGAGCAGTCGCTCCACGGTTCCCATGAACCCACTGCGCATTTCGAGTTGAATGCATCTGAGTCTGCAAAAAAATCGATATATCGATTGCTCCAGCGGACGCTCAGATATAGATGTTTACTCACCTTCGCACTCGTTGATCTTAGCATTACAGAACTGTCGCTCAGTGGTTTGACGATGACAATTGAACATTTGTGCCTGACATTAATCGCGTGAGAACCCACAATCGTACATTTTTCATAGATGGTCTTTTTGCACCCATATACTGTATGCTACCGTAATCGTGTTGCTTTTGGGAGATGAAATCGACATCGCGGCGTCTAAACTCTTTTTTACTTCCAAGCAACTGTTATGGCAGCAAATATGTCTCACACGGACTGATTGTGGGATTATATCCTGTGTGTTAACGCTGATATACTGTAGAGGTGCAAAAGGTCCGTCTCCGGTCAATTTTCGACTAGTGCTCATTCAATGGTCCAAGACCTTTTCAAATGTTATTTTTGGACTACATAGACTCAGTACTAAGTGTGCTGAATAACAAACAACCCACTAAGCGCCGCCTTCTGCGGACAACTGGTCCTCACACAATATGCAATGACATGTCGGGAAGGACCACTAGTCCGAACCTCGTGAATTTCTACTCACTTTTGCGCAAAGTTTTGTTTATTAGCATAGAAATATTCGAGAATCTACTGTGGACTGGAAAGTATACTTCAAAATAGATATTTGTTGAACAATTTTTGATTTATGAAAGTAATTTAGATGCAAATTTAAATTTAACTTATATCACAATTACTTCCCATTGGCAAAATCATTTTTTAGTGTCTCATATTTTCTTTATCATCAATTCTTACCTTGATTGGAAATAGAAAAACTCGACTCCTCATGCGAATTCCCTTTCCGCAGGTAGCCGAGCATAATGACCAAGATCCCCATGGCGTCATTGAGCATTCACCTAAAAATTATGTTCCTTCAGTTTATTCTTTGATATACTGTCAGCCTTACGTCTATCCTTGTATTCCTCATCTTCGCTAGTGTTGGTTATGTTGAATGCTTCTCGTTGATATTCGTCGTTGGAAAAACATCGCATGGGGATTACCTGGAAAAGTATTGGAATTATTCCAGCACATGCGTATTTCCTTGTCTAAATCAAGTTTCAAAAGGCAGGGAATGAATTGGTCACTAGATGCCTCTTCCGCGGGCCACTGGTCCTTGACAGTGTGAAAAAGTATGTGCGAAACGACCAGTTGTCCCACGGAGGCGGCGCTGTCTAGATTCATTCTTCCACCTGTATCTCTTTCAAGATATAATGTCAAAAAGTTTTTACCTACTTTTTCCGATTATTCTATCGTATTCTTGCTGCGCGAAGAATTTAAATCGCTCATGGAACGATCAAATTCGCTAAATTCCCGAAATTCGGCAAAATTCCCCGGAATCGCGCGCCATTCAAGAAACCCCGCGACATTTTGTGTTTTTCGCGAAATTTTGAAAATCTTGCCACCACTTCCTCCAAAATGCATGTATTTTGAAGTAGAAAGAAGCTTTATGCTCAGGTTATTGAATCGCCCTTCTGGGTTAACTCGTACGGTAGGAGGCAAATTCTCTTGCGACTTGCCACTCATATACCACTCTAGCAACTCTCACTTTCTTTTATTATACAAAAAATAATCACGATATACGATCTATAAAATATTACCTCTGTCCTCCTCAGAATTAACTTTGCTATTGGCGGAATTATATCAGTTTCGGTGGAGTAGAATGGAGAGAGCGGATCGTCTTTGGTGGTAATCCATTTGATAGGAACTCGGGGTTCTTGCGGCGAATTGGGAGACTGAAAGGGTAATTTACGCTTACCGTATGGTGAAATGCGGTGAAATTATAGAAAATGAAGAATTTGAAAAGTTTGAAGAAAATTTTTTTTCTGAATATTTGTGGGACTATAGTATTCTCAATTTAAAGGAAAAAATAACCGGAAAAGACTTACCATATAGGTAATCCCAGAGTCGGTTCCGGCATCCCACGGGAATAGATCAAACGTCCTTTCGCCTACCCAGGTACAATCGGGGAGGCATAGATTCACGGACGAGATGCCTACGCACCAGTCGGGTGAAGGTCCGAACATTGTTGCTAATGAGGCTAGATGATGGTACCTGATATATGAAGTATACTGCTTTGGATACACGGGGGAGGCCCGGGGGGGGGGATAAGTGACTCACTTGTTGACAACAAAATTTGCTGTTGTCCTGCTCTGAACTTCCGGGTACCAAAGTCCTTTAACTTTCATCAGTGTACGCACTTCTGCTGCCTAGAATTCAAGCGTTTTTTTTTGCAAATTCTCCCCGAGGCGAAAACTGGTCCCCGCACTAACCTTTTCCTTTGCCTCTGCCTCAGCTTTGAATGTGTTTCCCCATTCAGCAATTTCTTTCATTCCATCTGTGGAAACTTCTCCGATTTTCCAAAGGGAATAGTTCTTGGAATGCGAGGCACCCAGCATATCCGTGAAATGAGTGAGATGCTCCACTAAAGTATTGGATTCAGGTATACTGTATCGATCAATAATTTTAGAAGAGAGATTACGGTACGCGTTGGATAATCTTTCGGATGCGTCTCTTTGCTCCATATTCCTATAAACTCCATTTCGTATTTAGCTTGATCACAGGCACAGCATTCTGTATTAGGGTCGTCGACGGGCACGACTTTTTGGTAACCCTCTAGAGCGAAAAAAATTAGAATTTTACCAAAAAATTAGTTTTTTACCTTGTACACAGAATTTCTTCGTGAGAGCATCTTCTTCGGAATACCATACGTATTTGGATTCAATCACAGAAGCTCGGAGTATGACACAACCTTTTGAAACCTTAAAATTAAATTGTGGCCAGTAAATGAAATTTTCGCATTTTCTGCAAAATTTACGAACATCCGGTGCTTTCCATATGGTATGAATAGAAGTCTTCGGTCGAAGATTTGAATGGCTTACTCCTCCTTTTCGACATCCAGGAGATGTTCGTGCGTCACCACGACCGCGAACAACCTATATATTCAAAGGGTCGGAAAAGAATGACCTGTAGCTGAAGCCGTGAATGAAATGAGACTCGAAAGAGCAAATAAAAATTGTTTTTATATGAAATAGAAAGCATGAAAATAATATTATCCATATGAATAAATAATGAAATGAAATGGATGTATATTTGCATGAATAGAACGAATGAATAAAATAATGAGTAGATCAATGACTGAATTTGCGGAAATGAATGAATGAGTAATTAAATGAATGATTAAATGAGTGAGTGGATGAATGAATAGTTGAATGAATGAATGAATGAATGATTGATTGATTGATTGACTGAATGAATGAATGTACGAATGAATGAGTGAATGAATGAATGGTTGAGTTGATTGGATGAATATGAAAGAATCGAATAAATGAATGAAGGAAGAATGTGAAATCAAATGAATTAGTTAAATGAATAAAGCAGTGGAAAAAATTGAGTGAAGGCTTTGGAAAGAATGTCAAATAAATTGATGGACGAAAAATGTATGAAAGTATGACGAAGGATGAATAAAAGAATGAACAAACAAACCACTTAAGACTTTATGGGCAAAAATGATGATCGTATGAAATCCGATGAAAGATCAGAAAAAAATGAATGATTGAATAAAGTCTTGGAATATGTGATTGGCAATGGCAAGGGATTTTCATCTGTAAGCTGTCACGAAATATCAAAGGATGGCTTTTACGTAGGTGAATCAAGGAATAAATATATAATAAATGAAATAAATATGCAAGGTGTTTTCCAGTAAATTTAATGTGTGCTAAACTATTCCCTAATTGTCAGAAATGCGATATTCCAGATTATTTTTTTTTCTGTAAAAATCCTGAACCCACAAATATGCAAAAGAATTTCTTATTGAACATAGAACACGAGAATGATTGATGATTGTACTAATTGAAAACCTTTCGTACCTCAAACTTCCCGGCAGGTCTGCCATCTTCAAAAAGTGCACTTAGCACAAATCCTCGAAATGTTTGAACTGTAAACTTTGTCCTCCAACCACGGATCGATACTAAAAAAAATCAAATACAAGCTCCATTCGGTTACAAGAAAATTAAAGAAAATAAAATATTAGGTCGTTCCGAAAGTTCTTTCCGTTTTTTCAACCTATTATAAAAACACGTGGAATGAAAGTATGGAAACGCTTTTGGCACTATCCGACGCAACTTTTCTTCCTCTTTTCAACTGTCAGATCCATGTGCCGCTAGCTCTTGTGGTCAGTGAGATAATGGCCGAAATTTCGAAACTATGGTTTTTGCCATGTCCAACTTTGGCAATTTTTCACAGTTTTCTTTTATGACTTTTGAAGAAGCTTCAATAGCAGTCGGATAGAGTAAACAAAGTGCAATTTAATGAAACTTTTTGGTGGCTATTGCTAGCCCTAAAAATGTTTTTGAATTATTTTTCTAATGCTATCAAATTCCACTTTTATTGATGCCAAGAACCATAGAACATAAAACAGCGCGCAACTGAGGTGTCATTCGATGCAGCTTTTCCTCCTCTTTCTATTGAGTATTTTTCTTCCCAGTTTGTGGGGGTTTTCAGCTATAAAATTCCCATAACTCGTGATTTTGAACCCGTCTAGGGATGTACACGTGAAATGCGAAATCTCATATTTCGAAGCGGTAAACACTCAGTTACTTTGTTTAAATAGTGGACAATCATAAACGACTGTTGAAAGTGTTAAAATCCGAAGATTTGCTAATGTTCGAAGCGTTTGCGTGTTTTGTGACTTTGAAAAAGTGAGCATTTCTGGAAAAGTTATCTTAAAAAATAGTGAGAAGCCAGTTGAAATTGCCAAAAAATTCCTTTAAATTGCACTTTGTTTACTCTATCCAACTGCTATTGAAGCTTCTCCAAAAGTCAAAAAAGAAAGTTGTGAAAAATTGCCAAAATTGGACATGGTAAAAACCATGGGTTTGAAATTTCGGCCATTATCTCACTGACCACAAGAGCAAGCGACACAGAAATATGACAGCTGAAAAGAGGAAGAAAAAATGCATCGGATGGCATCTGAAGAGTTTCTCTACCCTCATTCCACGTGTTTTTATGATAGGTTGAAAAAACGGAAAGAACTTTCGGAACGACCTAATATATATATCCCAAATATATCCTCTATGCAATTACAAAAAATAGAAAAAATAAATAATTATTTATGTACGCAAGTTTGATTTAGAAACATATTTGAATCGTCATAGCATCAAGAAGCCTTTAAGTCATCCATTGCACAACAGTAGCTTTTGTTTCATTTCCAACAAGAAAATAAGTTGTTAATTTTTTTGAAAATTTTTCCGAGTAAAATCACTGTTTGTATCAATTTTTACTAAGACTAGGGCACAATTACGATGAGAACTCCCTATAGGGTTTACCTACTTTTGTACTTTTCCCCGGGGACAAAACCCGTACTGCCATTGTCGCTTCGAGTGGTGGCAGCGTCGATCTCTATCGCATAACCATTGCTTCCTTGCTGCTTTGGTCCTTTGGCCTCGTACGGTCGAATGGTGCACTTGTCGGCGAATGTAAGAAGGGTGTTGATGAGAAGGATGAGCAGCCGCATCCTACTCGTATGCTGTTAAGAAATGTTTTTGAGCAAGAAAAACAAATGGGTGGGGCGATGAGAAATCAGAAATCAATAGGTTATGTTTTTTGGGAACCGAGTGATGTATGAATCTTAAACTGGGTTACAAAATGGGCTCGAAATATCTGCCAGCAATAAAAAACCTTGACATAAGTAAAAAACTGTATGTAAGGCATCTCATGGCTTGGAAAATAGAGTATGGTCAAAAATAGTCAGCAAAAATTTGATATTGATAAATAAATCTTGAAAGAATTCTATAAACAAAAAGCTGTGCTCAAAAATAGCGATAATTTTGAAAAAATAAATACCACTAGAAAATAATTATAGTGAAAAAGCAACATGTTGAATCCATCAATGCTGATCGCAAAAAATTTAAGAATGACATTCACAAGAGTTTTAGAAGATAAAGAGGTGTGAGTAAGCCAATACCCCCTAGCATCTGAGAAGCTTTCCGAATTTTCTGCGCGATTGTAACCCCAAGAATTCCTTAAGGTGAGCAATTTCAGAAAAATCCCTTTTACTAAGCAATTCATTTACACAAAACTTATTTAAACTTAAAAACTATACCGATTTATTTATTTATTTTGAAATGCAAGTGAACTGCGCGAAATCAATGAAATATTGTGTTACCATGGAATTGTGTCACATTACAGTAGCCATACAGTAACCCTACAGTAAGGAGTAGAACTTGGACACACTAGACGTTTGAAACACTAAAACGTGAGGATTAGTCATGTAAAATCTATGTAGATTACGTGAAGCAGTAATCTAACGGAAAAAATGCGATAAAAATCTCATGGCGAAAGCAGATAGTTCGAAAATATCTGGGATAAAACATCTGCAATAAATAAACTGTATGATTAAAAAAAGCACAGCATAAGATGCAAAATTTGTTTATTTGCTAAGTAAAATAATTTTTTTCTAAAAGGAAAAGATGATTTTCATATATTTTTACATTTTTTATATTCCTTTTATATTTCTTTCTTCTTTCTTTTATTTTTTTACAAGCTCGATTATGAAATGTAAGAAATTTCAAATTTATAAATATTCTAGTAGGAAATTCAATGGAAATATTTCATTTAGAGCTGCATTGACTGAAATGCAAAAATGAAATTTTATTAAAAAATTGTCTAATTTACAAATTTTCCAACATTTTTAGAAAACATTAGCGTGAAAGCAATTTAAGAGTACTTCATTATAATAAACTTCCTGTTCTAGCATGAGGGTAAATGTCTGTAGGTCAACTTTTACAGAATTTATCTAATTCCCGTTCCCACAAAAAGATAAATATGAGCAACTAATTTCTCGAAGTTAAAGTGCAGAAGGAAGTGAAGCCGTAAAGGTCAGCTAGCGTTAGCCGAGAACAGTAGGTGCCCTTAGCCTCGTCGGGGCTTCTGGCCGTGCCCCGACGCGACATTCCAGGCACCTCGATGTACGCGGCTGTTCCCGGTGATGAATGGTTCGTGCAGATCAGCAGAAGCAGCCAGCGATTGTGCGTTGCTTTTAGTGCCAATTTGTAAGAGCACCGACTGCTCTTCTATCGTCTCATAAATCTTCGTAACGCAATGTTAATCACGTACTTTGCCATGTGCACTCGGTTGAATAACGAGATTTTGTCAGCAATGGCATGGCAACGAACAAAAATCAAAAGTCGAGTATGAGGAAGTCAAAAGTCTTGTATGGACCCTTTTGCACACAGATATACCGTAATAATATAAACTTCGCGCAATCGCCGTTCTTGACTAAATTTCATGGACAAATGGCATGCTAATGAAAAAAATCCACAATTCGCAAAAAACCACTAGTGGACCTTTTTGCACCCCTATACCGCGTCGTATCCATATTCTATCTGTATGCCATAGTAACTTTCCGCAATTACACTTGATCAAATAGCGGAAGTCCGTGAGCCAGTGGCACGCCAAAAAATCTGATAAATTGAGTTCAAAATTAAATCACAATGAACTGGAGCGGGCCTTTTGCACACATACTCTATACGCTAGAGTAATTTCACCCGATCTCACTTGACTCAATGATGGAAGTCGTGATCGAGTGGCATTTATCGAACAAAAATTAATAAATCGATTTTAGTGAAAAAGACATAAGTGGACACTTTTGCACACATTTACCGTATGCTACAGTAACTCTCCCAACCTCTCGTTGCATAATAACCGTTCCGTGCGCAACTGACACGTTAATCAACAAAAATTGACAAATCGCGTCCAACAAAGTTGAACGGAATTGAGCGATATGGGCCTTTTTACGCACATACACCGTATGCTACAGTAACTTCGCGCAATGTCAGAATGAATAGTGAAAGTCTGTGAGCAAATGGTCGTTGGTGAACAAAAATTTAAAAATTAAAATAAGGTCAAGAAACGAGTGTGGACACTTTTGCACACATACACCGTATTCTACAACTTTTCGCAAGCTCTCGATTAGAGGACATTTCATGATCAGCTGGTACCTTCAAAAGAATCAACAAGTTGATTTGACGAGTCCAGTGAATTATTGAAATATTGAAGTATATCGAGTGCAGGTCCTTTTGCACATATGCAGCGCATGTACCATATGGTGTGGATCCTTTTGCACACATATACCGTAGTGTACGTAGCCCCATAATGGAGACTGGCATCGTAACTCACGCTATAAGCAAAGTACTATCAGTGTAGAGAAGTATCTTATTTCATGCATACACAAATGTGGGGTGAATCACACTGTGCGCCCGTACCATTTAGGGCCGGGCATACTTCACGCGATTTCAGTCGCGACGCGATTTGGCAATTCGCCAGAAGTCTTCAGATCCAACACTAGCAAACTGCACATGCACAGTGTGCATAACTTATGTGGATTGGTAAAATGCCATGTCTTCTGTACATTTGAAATGTGGGTGTAGGACGATTCGCACGACCGTAATGCTTTCCACACAGGACCACTGCCGCGCGCGACACACCCTGCGGCGGCTTTTGCCTAAGCAAAACAGGGGGAGGAAAGGTTTGCGGCGTGCACTACTTGTTAAGACACGTCAAAATCAGGGAGACTCTGGAGACCGCCCGTGCGAAAAGACCGTCTCCCTTAAAATGTGCTTACAGTGAGTTATAAACAGTTGAAATATCGCCAAATCGCGTCGCGACTGAAATCGCGTGAAGTATGGCCGGCCCTTTTCGGACCCTTTTGCGATGTACCGTATGTTATACTATGGTCAAAAACAGAGATTTGCGTCATGATAACAGTCTTGCCCTCAAGTAACTTTGTATATAACTGGCTTGACGGCTGGAGGCGGGGCTTCGTGACCTATTAAGGCCGCTCGCACCCGCGACGCAGTCTGCGTCTCTCCTGCGCGCATGCTCTCTGATCATCACCTAGGCTTGACTAGGTCACGAAGCCCCGCCTTCCAGCCGCCAATCCAGTTGAATCAAAGTATAGGTAAGGCTTTATCATGACGCTAATCTCCATTTCTATTACTTTTTTTGCACAGTATAATATTAGCAGAGAAACTTTTGTACATTTTATAGTAGACGCGGATATGGTCTTTTTCGCACGCAAGATTACAATAGTATAGTTTGGTTGTAGGTGTGCAAACCAAATTTCTGTCAACTCTTTTGAAGTGAGCAATCAAACAAGGTAATTCACAGCTAGGGTTCTCGCTTATTGCGCCGGACATACCATTTTACGGTGGTATACGGTAGCGGTGCCAAAATGAAGACATTGAAAGTTCTTGAAAATGGGTGATACCACGTTTATGAAACACAAATTGAGAAAATTCCTCCTTTAGCTGCGTACTGTAGCGGCGCAAAATGGACGTCCTCCTCCGTTTAATACCATTGAGTCATTTTTATTAGAAAGCGAAAAATCAATAATCGATTTATTGCACTGAGATCGATATCACAACATTCAACACATCACAAGAAAGTAGAAGTGAGCAAAAATTTTACATTTGTCGCGCAAACGCGACTCAGAGGCACGTAGACCCCAATTAAAGAAATTATATAGTATAACATACCCGGATAAAGACATAGTGGTATGCATGTAAATAGATTGATATGTTTGGATGGAAATTTTCGAGTATAAAAAAGTGTAAAAAATTTTAAAGCAACATGTATTAAAAGCTCATGAAAATGCTGGGTGTTGAGAATAAATTATGTTCAAATGCACTTTTGGAGATTCTTTTAGAATAAAAAAGTGACTTGGCTTCATTTAATAAAGGAATCACTGCTTTAGACTGCAGTACTGGTAGGAGAGGATTGTCGTAGGATAACGTGACCTAAAGGCTGCTCTATGGGCTCTGAAGGAGCTACAGCCGGATTTGCATTGTGTTCTTCTTCTATTTCTTGAGGCGAAAAGGCCACGGCTGATGGTTGGGCAGCTTCTTGAGAAAGATTACTTTCCAGTGTTGATGTTTGTGATCGAATTCCATTGATAATGAATGATGGAAGACGTGCAGCTCGTCCGGGATGACTGGAAAACAAAAAACTATTCATTCTTTCATTCCGCACTCATTCACTCATTTTGAAAGAATTTAAAAAAACCAGAATTTTCAGAAAAAAAGATCAAACGGTTAGACGACATCATTTTACCTCTGAAAACAGTGCACATGCGGATGGTAGATCACTGTGGTAAGCGGAAACGCGAGGAAGTACAGTATAACAACACCATCAAAAACATACAGTAATACCGTACCCGTCTCATCTAGAGCATCCTATAAAGTGCCGCTGTCTCAATTTATCTCGATGCTGATAATAATCAACTGACCTGTATAGCAACCATGTAGAATATGATACCACAGTTGATAAATGAACAAATACCGTAACACACTAAAAAATGGGATGAGGTCCTTTAATTTTCGCTTGCAGCAAAACTCACAAAATGTACGATACATCGATTGGCTAATGGTTTTACGTATATGGGCAGCTAAATCGTGCTTCATCTTCACGATCTAAAAAACACACTTTAAGAAAAATATGCGTAATAATTTTTTTTCAATCTTTTAATCCATGCGTATTTACTGACGATTATGTATGTTCAATGGTCTTTAAACCTTCCTGAATCTGGGTGGGTTGGCAGAATTGTTTGGTGAATAGGTCAGAAGTTCTTCCAAGGGGGGAAGGGTGAGTCAGCCGCGATTTCGTGAGATAGCAGGTTGAATGTTTTTAGGAATAAAATCACCAAGAAAGTTATGCTTGCGACATTTGTACCTTGAAATGTGAGCCTGCACACTGTGCGCGGCAACCGACGACAGTTTACGACTCATCACTAGCGGCTTGTCAGCAAGAAGTTTTCTAGTAAAACAAACTAAAGAAACGTGTACTAGTGCCTAATACATATCTAATCAAAAAATAGAGGAAAAGAAAGGAGAAACTGCTAGAAGTGGACGGTTTACTTCTATTTTGAAAAATTTTCATGACATATAATTACATTACGTTTATAATTTTAGCTGAGCAGAACGGTGATAATAAATGTTCACGTATGCAAATCTTCGTTCTTCGAATCAAATTGAGAAAAAATAATCCAAAAAAGCATTAAATAATTACCTGATTAAGAGGATTATATTCCTGCCTACACACTGTCCAATTTTCTGATATCGTAAGCGCGAAAAAGCACTGAAATGCAGTAAATGAAAAGAACATCTTCGTCGGAATTATTTCCTCCAAGAAAAAAAAGTCGAGGAAATTTTTTTAAATTAGCCTGCAAAAAATATTGAAAATTAGCCCCACTGAAAAGCAAATTTCTAATCCCGCTTATCTATCCAGATTGAATTTATTACAAAACAGTAGTATTAGGTTGTCAAGAAAATAATGTCGGTTTTTATTTTCTTGCTTTAACAAAGCAAGCAGACTCAACCCAACAAAGGGTAAGGGGTACTGTTCGATAGAGCAAAGCAAGCTCTACAAGATGGAACTCATGTCTTTGCGCCATGCTCGATCCACGGAGAGTTCGAACTCAAAATCTAAAGATTTCCAAATGCCCAAAAAATTGAAAAAAATCAGATCTTCGTCCAAATAATTTCTACGGACCTCCCACTCGCTCACATCAATACTATCGATATCTGATATCCTTATGTGCGATTGCCGTATTTTTTCCTTCACTAGAAACTGAGAAAACGAAAATTTCCCTGATTTTCTCAAAGCAATGCTGAGCCGTTTTTGCATATGTAGTTCTATACTACAAGCCTAGGTAAGTATAACTGTAGGTTTTCAGCCTATTTCGAGCGATACTTTTCGAGGAATGCCGATTTTAGCACTGAAACTGAAACGAAAAAATCCGAATTCGTCACTTTTCGAAAACTACCGCTTGGAATGGGCTGAAAATTTACAGTTATACCTACCTAAGCTTGTGGTATAGAAATACATATGCAAGAACGGCTCAGCATTGCTCTGAGAAAATCAGGCAAATTTTCGTTTTCTCAGTTTCTAGTCAAGGAAAAAATACGGCAATCGCACATATGGATATCAGATATCGATAGTATGGATGTGAGCGAGTGGGAGGTCCGTAGAAATTATTTGGACGAAGATCTGATTTTTTTCGATTTTTTGGGCATTTGGAAATCTTTAGATTTTGAGTTCGAACTCTCCGTGGATCGACCATGGCGCAAAGATATGAGGGCCATCTTGTAGAGCTTGCTTTGCTCTATCGAACAGTACCCCTTAGCCTGTGTTGGGTTGAGTCTGGTTGCTTTGTTAAAGCAAGCAAATAAAAACCGACATTATTTTCTTGACAACCTAATATTTTGCATTGACAATCAATAATTGAGGCAGGGGTTTAAAATTTAAACAAACTCACAATCAATTGAAATAGTGCTATCGCAATGAATGCCCCAATTGACACGCTATAGTGGAAGCCATCTTTGCCTACTCGACGATCTTGTTTTTCTTGACAACTCGGATGATAGTAAGTGTGCTCTGGGATCAAAATCGAGACTAGTCGGAAGTAAAGATATTCGGCGAAACCGACAAGATACTGCAAATTGTAAAATTACACAAAATCTCCTAAGAAGGAAAGGGGCGATCAAAAACCTACCGCCACAATGACCAGGGTATAGGCTATGGTATAGTAGTGGGCGTTTAGCGTCTCTTCGATACGTTCGGCTACACTCCGTTCGCTAGGCGGCGGATCGGAAGCAGCCGGTGAGGTTGCACGCGTGTCTACGGTCGCGACACCAACTTTGGCACGGGCACGCATCGTTCGAGGTGGAGCGGTTGGCTAAAAAGCGTGAGGTTAAGGATATAAAAATTGTAACTATAAATAATGAATAGTAATAAAATATAATATAATAAAAAATAATATAATAAAGAATAAATAAAATAAAAAATATTAAAATGATAAAATATTTAGTAAAATATGGTGAAATTTATATAATAATATAATGACTACTCATCTATAGTCTGACCACAAGTGGATGTCCACACAAGCTAAAGCGCACGCGACCGCGACGCGCCAGCTATTGATTTGCTTTCTCTACGCCTGCGCGCTCTAGCGATGATAAGCACTTGGCCGCCGCGTTTGCGCTCTCACTTTGCAGAAATGAAGCTTCTCTTCGTCCAAGACCAGACTTTTTGAAAATAATTCTGTAATTGCGTACCTTCTCATCCGCAATAGCCGGCGACACTGGATCTTCAGCAATTCGTTCCAAACCGTGCAAACGAGCTCGATGCACCAACGGCTCTAAATTTTTCCCAACGTCGATTCGTAACTCTTTCAGCGAGCGACGTGGGAATTGTGCACGACGTGTTACCGTTGCCGGGAAACTGAAAATGTATTGGGAGTAATTGTAGTGCGAAATGCATTTCGAAATGCATGGGAATGGGGATTTGTATGCGATTAGCCATACTGGGCAATAGACAAATGTGGCCGGAATGAATCACCATTTTTTGCGTTTCGGTTTTTTTGCAGATAGATTTTCCGAGGCCCCGTTGAACTCTATGTGAATTTTCTCGTTCATTATTGTGTTCAATGGACATTACTAGTCGTTCAAATGCAAATTCCTCAATGCATTTCTGATTCTGCCACCTTTCCTTTCTCACGCCCTCTCACCAGAAGCTTATTGTTAGATTTATTTCATTCTGAAGCATACTGAATTTTGAGTAACGGATTTATCTAAAGCATCCACCAGGATTCCATGCTTCTGTGAGTTTGGGACCTTTCCGCGAGCCTGATTACAGTGTAGTGCAAATTGTATAAACCCTACAAAACCCCGATATCTGGGACCTGTCGTGAATGCGTGGGCGAGTCTCAGTCTTTGGATGGGCGGAGTTTGACAGGGTGGGCGTGGCTTGATAGCACTTTCGCGGGTTCCAGGTGCATTTTTCCATTCTGAGGCCATACTGGAGAACGGACTAAGCCAGATGCCCCTCTTTTGGGATCCACTTCTAGGCTAGTTTAATAGCTTGTATTTTGGCTAAACGCTGCCTTTAAGGCACCATGATATCATATAAATTTGATGACTTTATCGTTCATAATATGACACACCCGCTTCGTTTCGTTAAGGCAAAGAAGAGGAGCTCAAAACTCTTCTCTAATTTTAAATTTTTTCAAAATGAAACTTCGTAAATCGATTCCCTGTTTTTTATCCTATAATCAATTATTAATGGTCCAAGAAGTCTAAGAAAGGGCCGTTTTGCACCGCTACAGTATGCCAATGTGATCCTGTGGAGGGTGCTAGGCGTGATTGTCGGTATTCGGAGTTCGCGCAAATACAATTTTCCATACGCCTAATAAGGGTTTTGGTTGCGCTCAGCAGATGATACTTGGGATTACGGTAGCATAACGTACATATGTGCAAAAGGACCTGTAGATTCATTTAAGATTGAAGTTAACACCGAATTTCGATATTATACTATAGAGAAACGTAATGGAATTTTCTAGTAAAGTCATTATTTTTGGGCGATCGTAAGAAAAAATTTTTTCTGGCGAGTAAGAGAGGGGAATGACAGAGCTGCTGTCAAATAGAAGGGTGTGAAGGGGTGTTAAATACGTCCTTCAAACAATTTGGGAAGTTTCAAGTACCTCTCAAGTCTTATACATGTCCTTCAAAAATCATTTTGAAAAGTTTTCTTTGTTTCAAAAATCATTTCGAAAAGTTTTCTTTGTTTCACTAAAACTGTAGAATCAAATCGAAATCGTCGATCAAACAATTCAAGAAAAATTGATTCTTGCCTTTGAACTTCAATAAAATTCAAAAATTTGGTTAGTTTTCAACTCTCATCTAAGACATAATCTTGGAATATTATTTTACAAAGTTTTTTTTTAGTCTCACGTAAACTTTAACCAGAACGACTTTTATAATCCACAGAATCAAAAAAAATTGCTCTTTGCCTGTAAAATGTAATTAGATTGTAATTTTCGTCAAACTGTAACCTAATGAATTACGAGAGTTCAGAAAAAAATGTAATTAATGCAGAAGTGGCACACTGAAGTGAGGAATTGCACTTTTTTCCCACATTTTGGATTCTACCCTACGACCTCAGCCTAATTGTGTATGTCAATCAAAGTCGCAAAACATCTCAGAACTTTTTGACAATTCCCGTCGTCTCGAAAACCCGCATAATTGACCCTGTTTGCTCTTATGTTTGTGTCCTCAATTGTGACATATATCGCCAGCGCCCGTTCCCAAACTGGAACAAACCATGCCCACAAAAAACAGATGTGTCTCACCTACTCGGACAACTTCGTGTGGAATTTTGACGTTCAGCTTCTCGCTCCTCATCACAGTCACAATTCTCCAAATCGGGCAGCATTTGTAATCTGAAAGAACGTAGAATGAAAATGTGAGGAATGGCTAAGAGGCATACACGAACAGGCAGACACATTCACACGATGATGGATTCGTGCGAGTCGATACGGGGAGAATTGGTGAAGCGAAACGAACAACGGGATCATCTCCCCCTTCCCCCCCCCCCCCCGTCCAGAGTATTGAACACCAAAACAGGCGTTAACACACACCGGCTTTGTAGTGCAATCATATGGGATAGCGTGTCCATTGAACAATATGAAAATTTTTTTTACTTACATACTTGTCCATATTTGCACTTTTGTGAATCACGACAATTTTTTTCTTCAGTGGTCTTGGATAGGGCGAAAGCGCTTATAAGAACAGCAACATGAAGATATTTTGTCTAACTTGGTTCTGCGAGAACTGGTCCCTCGGCTAGATAGCAACAGGATACCCTTTTGCTTTGTCAGCTCTAGACTGCACGAAAAAGATGTTCAGCGACAGCAGAGTGAATTCTTTGCTTGATCTTGAATTGTTGAAGTTTGCGAAAACTGGTCCCTAGCCTATATACAGCAACAGAATAAATTCCTGCCTGGTTGATTTTGTAGTGCACAAATCTGGTTCGCAAGCTAGACAATAACGAAGAAAATATTCTGCGCATCAGTTTAACTGTGCAAATCTATTTCTTACTTGAATAACAGCAGCATGCGATTACCTTTATTACTTAAGTGATTTCAAATTGTGCGAGAATTGGTCCCCTCCTCAAAAACATGAGAATATTAGGCTTTACAAAAACTGTGCCAAAATCGGCCTCGGGCTAGTCAACACTATGGAAGCTTCCTCCTTGCTTGAACGAATTCCGAAAAGTTGGTCCCTCAGTTATATGATCACTAACAAGAAGATGTTCTAGGGTTGCAGAGCATTGAATTATGGGAAAAACTGGTCCCTAAGCCATACAACAGCGTGGAAACTCGTCTGAGCCTCTTATTGCCAATTCATATGTTACATTTCTAGTTCACGCTGGGTTGTGCCTCAAATTTTTTTCGCTTTTCTTGAGATTGCCAGTTTTCTTATATATTGTACATACGTCTTTTTGTTTTTCCCCCTTCCTTAACGATTACTTGTTTGAGTATCATCTCATTGAACGTATCATCTCATCTCATATGATAACGAAGGACAGATTTTTCCCATAGAACATTATGAATTTTGAATTGAATCGTAAAGCCAGTAATATTTGTGTACGGACAGGAATGCCCACAATTAGTCGCATTTGCTCCCGAATGATAGGGATAGTCTAGCTTAGCTAATTTAGTCAGCGGAAAGAATGGTGGAACTCTTTTCTAAGTGGATCATGGGAGACTAGTTTTCGTGAAAACTAGGAATACTTGAGGTGTAGAGGGGTCTTTTTTCGATTTTCTGATGATATTCAGCGAAGTTGCACATGAAGTAATTTGGAAACAATGCGAAGGTATACAAAACGTTTCCGTGATATTTAAAAATTTAGTTTTTTCAGAAAGACTTTTTTATTTGGATTTCATTGGTGTCGAAAATTTTTGGATTAACGACACTGAATTAACTGAATCTGAATAATCTGAATCAAATAAAGTTTTCTCATTGGTAGGAATAGACACACAACAGCCGCAAAGTAACGGCACTAGTAAGTTAAAATCAGTGTAAAATAAATATATTTTCTTTGCAAAAAAATTCCCGTTGCACTAATCACTAAAACTGCGTACTCATATCTCACACCTGTTCAAAAATAGTGCAGAACGTTCGTTAGTGCGATTATATTGCACGACTGTGAAGGCTAATTGCACCTCTACGATTTAAATCCACACAATTACGGGAAACCAGTCTCGAAGGTCGGTCTGAGAACATCTATCGATTCGTAAGCATTCTTTCAGTGAGTTCTCTGGTAACAGGTTGTACCAGTGCTAACGAACAAGCAAACAATATTGTATCGAATCCAAGGAAAAATTTTCCAAAATTTTTTAAAAGATTGAGCCGCAGCTTGGTGGTCTTTTTTTTTCAAATGACTTTTGACCTCAAAAAATTACGAAATTGCGGCAAAAATACTGAAAATGCAGCTGCAAACTTTAAGGGGGAATAAGCTTTCCATATAAAATATGCCAAACAAATTAAAATTAAGAATGGATACAAAAGATAATTTTTAAGTAATAAAAAATTGTGAAAGCAGCATGATCATAACAAAAAAACATGTGTTTGCGAATTTTTCCTATTTCTAGACTTCTACTTTTATTTTCTACGCTATTTTTCACTTATCATTTTCCGAAATTGCCGAGAATTCTTAAATAATTTTGCATTAATTAAATATAGGGTAGAGATCGATGCGGTACTGATTTTTATATCATTTTAGCTTATATTTTATTTTATTTTATGCTACAAAAAGGTGAGATATCTAGATGGAAACCAAATAAGCATGCAGATTGAGAGAATAGTGTAAATAAAACATTCATATCGCAAAAAAACTCGTCCATTTTGCAGAAAAAATCATAGAAAAACATCAGAAAAGGGCTCAGTGTTAATAAAGGTGATTCTAAAAGTACGGCAGATAAAGAAGTCACGATTTGATACCCGAACTGCGCAAAACCCTGGTTATACGATAGTCAAATATTTTCAAGGTAAAAGGTACAAAGGATAAAAAAAATCTGCGACAACAAACGGCTGAACTTTGGAGCGCCATTGTGCTGAAGAGTAGCAGTAATGCCATGGCAACAAAAATAAATGTGAAGACGTGGAATAAGATTGGGCGGGAAATATGAAACAGGAAATTTTGAGAACAACGTGCATAGTAGGCTGCAACTCTCTTCAAATGGCACAAGGTGCTAGTAGTAAAAATCTCGTAGAAATCCGGTGAAAAAAATAATTGGTAAAAATCTTTTATTTTCTGAGAATAAAATAAAAGGTTTGTAGAAAATCTAATTTTAACCTTCGGTAAAAACGATTCCGTGAATATTCCATTCCATCTTCCAGCAGAACAGTGATAATTCTGTTAAAAAAACCGATCCAATTTTTATGAAAATAGAAAATTTGATTAAAAAATCTATCCATCTTCTAGGACCTAATGGAAAGTTTATGAGAATTCTGGTTTCGTCTTCCAGGCAATTATAAAGATTTCGTGGAATAAAACTTGGTATCATCATCAAGGAAAATTGAAAAACTTCGTAAAAGTTCCGGTTTCATCTACTGGGAAAAAGTGAGAATTTCCTCAGAAAATTCGTTTTTTCTTCAAGTATGTCAGAGGCTGTAAAAACTGCCGACTGTCTCTCAGAAAACATCGAAAAAATAAAGAAAAAAGAAAATTGGTATCTGGAGTGACGGAACAACAAAATCAAATTTTTGAAAGAAAAACAACTGAACATCACAGTCTTCATGCAAAAATAGATCGAGAACCCGTAGCGAACATTCTCCACTATAAAGCGAACAAAAATACGCGCAACGGAACACCACCTGGTGCGAGAAGGTATTGTTCACATGAGTCATAGCCCATTTCCTCACGGAGATTCGTAAAAAAGTTGTCGTGCGCCAGTCCAATGCTTGCGTTAGCCAAGTTTGAGCCAGTTCCTTCATATTTCTATTTTGGGCAGTGGCACACTGACGGGAGGGGAAGAAAGGGGAGGGGAGATTTTTAGAAGTGTCTTATGAGTCAAAAATTGTGTATGATTGGTTTAATGTGGTAGTAACCAACATAAAATGTCGTTGAAACTCAGTTCGGCTTTATAAAACATGGTCAAAGATGGTCCGCAGAAATTTAAGCTTACAAAAATTTTCCATAGGCTGCTTTTGGGAAGAATTCTTGTCGCTCTTCCCCCCTCCCCCCTTGAAAAACTTCTAGGACAGCCACTGATACTGTGATATCGAGAAAGGGGTGTAGAATAGAGGGGAAAGCAATAGGAAAGCTTGTCTGTTTTTTACGGTACCCTAACACTCCTAACAATTTATTATTAAGTGGGATAGACAAAGGTTGAATGAGAAAAAGATATGGCGGGGGGGGGGGGGGGTGGGGGGAGGGGGAGGGAGAAAAAGAAATACTTCAGACATTTAAGATTTTCCACTTGACTTATTTTTGTTGGATAAAAGCATTTTGAGCATCACGGCAACACGAACAGTTGCAGAAAGCATCCAAGAGGAAAAACAAAAATTTTTTATTGATTAGAGTGTGATCAATACAAGGTTCTCGAGGAGCTTCCATGGAAAGCCACCTTCGTTTGACAAAGAGTTTGAGCTGCTAATAAGTGAAAAAAGAATTCGCAATTTGATTACACATTTTGATCAAAAATATTATATTGCCTAAAATAATATATTGTTAACTATATGAAATATTATATTATTAATTGAAGAAATACTCTTGATTCTGACTGAGCCATACTCTAGAATAGTCATACCAAAGAGAGATGCTGGGGCTTACTGGGAGTAGAACAATACATTTACTAAAGATTTTTATTTTTAAGATATAGTTAAACATTTTTTGTGGATTTTTTAACTTTTCTCAAACACAAAATTCCTTTGCGAAGTTACCCTACTTTTTTTATTAAACTCTTGAGCAGATTAGATCATGAAAGATGTACTCACTCATAAAATTATGATAAGAAGCTCAATATGCAGCGATATCAGACACTCTTTTCGCTCATTTATGCTTACTAACTATAAGTGGATTCTGAGTGGGTAGATCAAGTCTCTAAGAAACGGGAATGTTTAGACGAATTTCAAAATGGAAATAAGGGCAATCGGTGTAAAACCAGATGCAGATAGGCATTCGTTAAAATGAGTCAATCAATTGTTTAACAAAATGTTCGATATTTCATGGAAAAGCAAAAATTACTGCAGTTTTGTTCCTGATGAATTATTACAATTTTGTTCCTGATGTTGCAGGCTGAAATTAGGCCGATCAATAAAAAACAGAATGGGTGAGAAATTTGCACTACGCAATCGAAAAACAACTGAATAGGAGACACGGGTAACCTTGGAAAAAATCATAGATCGCGCTGGGTACAGTAGAAGGCG